TTGGTGCCTTCTTCAGCAACAGCAGCAAACACTGATTGTTTTTCCGATTGCTTCTTCTTCTTCGGACAATCAAATTTCCAATGTCCCTTCTCCTTGCAGTAATTACAAACATCATCCGGCTTTGCACCCTTCGACATCGGATTATTTTTATTTCCGCCGTTTTTCCTTTCCTTTCCGCTACTGGTGAACAAACCGGAAGGCTATATGTCCGTACTTGTGCCGTTAGCCTTATGCCGTAATTCCCTGCTATGAAGGGCCGATCTGACTTCTTCCAGTGACACAGTATCTTTCCCAACAATGAATGATTGAACAAAATTCTCAAACGACATTGGGAGAGATACTAACAGAATCAGGGCAGCATCTTCATCCTCGATCTTCACATCGATATTACGCAATTCTAATAACAAAGTATTCAATTGCTCTAAATGTTCCCTGAGTTGTGTACCTTCAGCCATTCGTAAACCGAATAGACGTTGTTTTAGAAGCAGCTTGTTGGTTAGAGATTTTGTCATGTACAAACTCTCCAGCTTCAACCACAGACCAGCAGCAGTCTCTTCATCCGAGACCTCCGTGATGACGTCATCCGCGAGACACATCATGATCTTCGAGTGAGCCTTTTCCTCTAGAATCGCCATCTCAGGAGTAACGATGACGTTCTTCTCTTTCGACAACGGCGCCCAGAAGCCTTGCTGTTTCAACAAAGCCCGCATCTTGAACTGCCATAAACTGAAACTGTTCCTCCCTGTGAATTTGTCGATTTTCACGTTCAAAGCAGACATCTCGAATTCTCCAAGAACACCGATTAATCGAGAGGCTCTGATATCAATTTGTTATTCGGAATTTGAGATAGTACGAGAAAATATAAACGCGAAAAACAAGACAACAGATTTACGTGGTTCACCAATAAATTGGCTACGTCCACGGGAAGAGGGGGAGCAGTTTTATTAATGGAGAGGCAAGAACAGAATTACAGAATAGGGTTTGCCATAGCGTCTATATATAGTGCTAAACTACGCCCTAACAGGCTTGGGCCCAAAATACAGAATTGACAGATAATTAAGGGTCCAATACAACAACATTGTATACGGGTCCGATTCAAGGCATTCAACAATATGAATATATCGATATGACTTATTCTTAATAATCTCTCATTACGCCCTATATTAGTAAGTACACAAATGTGTAGCTACTTAAAGAAACTATATTAGTAAGGAAAGATAAAAGTAAATAAATATTATAAAAGTACATTTAAAAACGAATCTAAATGTCATAAATTAGTAATTTCAGCACTAATAAAAATAGACTTATAACATTCATAATTTCATAGAAGATGATATTAAAGAAGTATAATCAGTAAAGAATACAAAAAAATTAAACAGATAAGAATAAATACAACATTCATATCATTCTTAAGACTTTTATTATAACAATATATATAGTAAAACAAATACACAAGGAGTAAAAAAAAATTTCTCCCGTAACAAAAAAAAAATCAAAAATAGTAAAGATAAAATTTATAATTCAAAATATCATTCTAATGAGGATCAACAAATATTAATATTTCAAAACAAAAAAAAAGTACCTGAAAATTGCCTAATGATTCACATCAACACGAGGCAAATGGTAAAGAATAATTATTTTTAAATGATACATATATATAGCTAAAGATTCATTGGATAAGATGAAAAGGTGAAGAGTTGTTTAAGTTAAGGGAAAATGCACAAGTACTCCCTCAACCTATGCCCGAAATTCCAGAGACACACTTATACTATATTAAGGTCCTATTACCCCCTTGAAATTATTTTATAAGTAATTTTCTACCCCTTTTTGGCCTACGTGGCACTAGCTTGAAAAAAAAGTCAACCAGCGTGGGGCTCACAAGATACTGTCACGTAGGCTGAAAAGGAGTAGAAAATTATTAATAATATAAGTTCAGGGGGGTAATAGGACCTTAGTATAGTATAAGCGTGTCTCTGAGATTTCGGGCATAGGTTGAAGGGGTACTTGTGCATTATCCATTAAGTTAATTTCAGAAGTTGAATGATCTTAGACATGCGGTAGAGGAAAGGTAGAGAGAGGATAACAAATTTAGTTATTTAATCACATTAATTATAAAGAAAGAATAAATAACTTTTATTTTTTTAAAAACAAGTAATTCCTAACAATTTCCTATGAAATAATTTATAACAATTTTCTATAAAATATTTTTGTCTTTCAAAGTTTGACTTTACACCTTCTTAGTTTTAGTATAATATAATTATTACTTAGTATGTAAATAATTAGAATTTAAATTATTTTGTCTAGATGCATGTATTTGAATATGATTATTTAATATTAAATTAATTATATATTAATATTTAATTTAGTTTAGGGATAAAACAAGGGCAAAATGGTAGTTCAACTTTTAAGTTAAGGACTTCCCACTTATAATAATACGAGTATATGTTATATCATTAAAAAAAATCATCTACCAGACTAAGTACAAATATGTCATAAATATTTTCTTGGGATAGCTTAATATATATAGGTTGTAGACTACTGAATGTGAATATAATAGATGACATCTATAATCTTTTTCAACACGTCGCATTAGTACCAATTTATACTATATCAATAGTTATTTCTCCAAACTCAAAAGAGAATTTAAGAAAATTATAAAAATATTGAACCAAACTAAATAAGTATTAAGAGAATGATTTCTATAATCTGGTCATGTACAAAATTACACTAATAACTTATCTTTTAAGTGTAGCAGGACACTCTTATAATCGAAGGTTCTGATACCATCATTCCGCTATGGAAAAAGAAAATCATATCAAAGAAATCATAAGAGTTTTCAGAATGTTCATCTATGTATTTTTCTTTGTACCTACAAAATTAGAATATGCAAAGATGAAACAAAAAGAAAAGAAATAATACATACTTACCGGAGTATCTCCGATGAACATATGAAATTAGGAGATGGTAGATTAGATTTTTGAATGATTAACATAGAATACACACAATATATTATAGTAAATGAGACTCTTTGTTTTCCTTGTCTGTTATGCCTTTTCAGTTGCATCATTTAAATATGTCTTCATTATTATATGATAGAATTACTGAAGACTGAAACTAATAATTATACATTGTAATTAAGATACTATAAATTAAAAGTTTTATATTTAATATTAAAAATTAACTCCAAGGAATTGAACAAATTACAAAAAAATTAACTCTCATTAAAATAATTTTCTCACCTATTAGAGCATCAAATAAGAATTAAGGAAACATAAATCAAACACTTGCAAACAAATTAACAATTAATTAATTTATAAATAGGCTAAGAGATAAACTTCAAAAATTTTAAACTATTTTTTAAAAAATAATAACAGGAAAACATGTCTTTAAGATAATTAAACTTTATTATATACTTTATATACTAATATTTTACTAATAACCAATTAGATGATTTTTACAATTTCAATGTAAGGATAGGGTTACGACAATCAAATTTAAAAATTAAGAGTAATTAAGTTAAGACTATAAAATAATTAGTAATTTATTTACTAATATTTAATTACTTTAATTATGATTTAGTACAGGGCAAAATAGTAATTTAACTTTTGCCTAACTTTCTTCCTACTTATAATAATATATGATGATAATAGGAGAGGTGAAAAGTGCCATAAAAAACCGACTTTTAAAATAATTAAAATAAATTAAATGTAAAGTGAATAATAATAAATTATTATTATTATATTTTTAAAAAATCATTTTAAATATGCTGATGTAACGTGTGTTTGTGATTCCCTTTTTTTGGGAAGTTAACTCATTTTTTATTTAAATAATATTAATAGTAATAATAAGAAAAAAAACTGACAATATATATATATATATATATATATATATACATATATACGCGTGCGTGTGTATTATTTATTTTTTA